CAAGAATCGTTTGACTTCCTATGGTAGATGGGCCTAATTTGTAGATCGTCCCGTTGCGCTTGCGCCCAGAGATGATCTCAGTCATCCTGTAGTGAGATCGCGCTAATATTTGCGTCCGTGCAATGCAGACATTTACCGCAGGGGCGGTATGGCTTTCTCGAGAGGGCATCAGCATTTTGGAATTTGGAATTTATATTTGTTAGCGCCGGAAAGGCACTCTCCACACATTATTATGCTGACGACGCAGGCGGTATGCACAGTCAAATTCATAGCCTGCTTATCATTCTTGCCCTCGTGCAACTTGATCCTCCGGCTTCTTAAAGTTCAGAAGCCGCGTTTACCAACTGTGGTTGGTTCGAACGAGGAATGTTCGGTACGGCAGAAACGCTCAGCATTTTTCAACGAAGAACATAAGGGTTGGCATCTCTTTCTTGGTCACAGAGTACGGTTTCTCGGCCATGCTAAGAGATCGGCTTAAGTCCTGAATAACACATTCAGTGTTGTCGGCTTGGTGGTGCGATATGACTGCGCAAATTCACCGGCATTCGTGTCAAGGATGAAGATACCGGCCTGTTCGTTGATGTCGGGGAGAGTGAGGATAGGGCAAGAGGTTGATGTATGATCTCGCTTCCGGCCCAGCAGTTGGCGTGAATTTTGTTCAGCGTGGATTTAATGCCGACTTACCCAAAGATCGGCCGTATTTTGAAAAAGGAAAACGTGCCGATGTTACATGCGGCCGTTTGACGGATCATTCTTTGTATAACTTGCTGAGCAGCATGATGGGTAAACTGCGAAGGACTACCCACAATGAAGGGACTACGAAGGTTTACAGGGTTAGGGAGCCGAGTAGTCAGACGGAACCGGAAGACTAATGATAGCTAAGTCGACGACAGTGCTAGTAAACTGAATTAGTGTGTGACGCTGCGAAAGGATCATAAGTGGTAGAAGGAAGATGAGGACGATGATAAGTCGATTACAGGATAGCCTGGGTTCCATTGGTTAAAATTAATCCCAGTTGTAGATGGGAACCTCGTGGCAAGAGTAAAAGGGCAGACGGAAGCAATCTTATGCATGGACGGTGAAGTTCATGTGGTTCGACGATTGACGGTATATACCATAACACGTGGACGAGTTAGTATCAAGGACGTGGGGATAGCTGCTGAAAAACATATTTGAGTGATCTGTGGCCTTAAGCGAGGTCCAGCAGCCACGAATATAGGTCTCATATGCCCTAACAATTGGAAGCTAGGAGGAAGCACAATGAAACTGCAAGCGTAATGGTCGACTGTAGTTTGAATGTGCGGAAACTGTGAAGGGTAAACCGATTGCAGTTTCGGTGGCCGATGAAAGGAAGTAAGCGATGACCATCACCCGTGCATTGAAAGGAAGATTTTATCCGGTCGGCGGAAGAGGTGGCACCTGAAAGTGGGGATTAGTTTAGAGAATAACTGAGACGATATAAACAGCATTCGATGCTGGGTATAGTCCTCAGCTCAGCCCTTTAGAAGTCCTAGTCGCCTTTGACTTATGACAAAAAAGTACTTTCACACTTTCAGTAGCCCGACATTCCATTGCGACTTTCAAAGACAGTCCTACGTGCGAACAGAGCCTAGTGACTCCGAAAAGAGACTTTTAACTACTGAACTATACTAAATGGACCTACACATTTAAAAAGTTTCTGAAAGGCCCACTGCTTCAGGGATTCAATTGCATGCTCCGACGAGCATATGCGGGAAGGCGTCCCGTAAGACTTCCGTATGGACCAACTTCCTCTGCACGTTCAAGAGATAAGCCGCAGAAGGTCCCTCCAAGCCAGTTGTAAGAAGACATAAAAATAAACAGCGTACTCGCGGCTTCTGAACATCCGACATTTTTGAATGAAATCGCCGCGTTGCTGCCTGTAACTGAGAGGAAATCATTTGATTTCAACTAGTCCAGCTTCGTAAGGTAAATTACCAAGATACCTGACCATAAACGGAGTCCACTCTTGTAGTCGATAGAGCTGTAGAGAATCCTTCTTAAACCACTGGATTGAATTCTCCTAGTTCGATCAAACGAATGCCTCAGTCAATATCTGTTCATTGTCAGTTCAGTATCAGTTTATTTCGGGAAGGACTGGCCAACGCCTTCAAACTCCGTAGGTTTCTCCGGGCAAACCCTTACAAATCTGCACAAATCGTCATCTCAGCGCAAACAAACAACTCTGTGGCGCGTTTGGCTACATTTAAATATTGCAAAGATAGTTTGAGCGGGGAGATTATTAGAACGCCGAGGATCTTCCGTTACTCAGCAGCTGAAAAATGCAGTCCGCCATAAAGGTATCTAAAGGAGTCATCCTGTTCATTAGTTTTTCTGGTATGGAGTTTAGGGACCACACATTTAACACCGTTACAGCTTAAAATTCAACGTGCAGACCAGCTGCTATGTTGGTTGAAACCCTCCTGAAATGCGTGCCTTTCAGCATTAGATCTCATGGCTCCACCTAGGTTAACATAGTCAGAAAATATGACGGCATTGCAAGCCAGGTTGTTGTCACAGTCATTGATATAGACAAGGAAGCCTTACAGCTCTAAGCCT